GAAAAGGGGCACAACCATGCCTAAATGTAAGCATTTGAGCTTGAGCTGCACTAGGGTAAAATATACCTGTACTATTTTACATGGAAAAATACATTTTTACTATTAATCGTGACTTCTTGTTAGAATCTATGATTCCAGTCGCATTTCATACCTTGTGAAAGCAGACATTTTTCAAAGCCTATCTTTGCTTTTTAATGTAAACACTCATTTTTATGCACCAAAAGGCCAACCACCACATGAAAGAACCAACTGACTGAAAAAAACTATTGAATAAAGATAAATAATGTTTTAATTGAAAATGATGACTAATTAACCAATTTTACGCATTCTAAAGGAAGGAGGTAGGAAAAAAAGACATACATTTGCACTTCTTAAACGAAGAAGGTTTCATGTCTCCTAGGTACGCTCGAAAGAGATGTGTATGTCTTTATTTTCTACTCCCTTTAAAACACGGAGAACCAGTCGATTAACAATTATTTTCAATATAAGATATACACTATCATTTATTAAGTAAATTAGCATTGTTAATTTAACCTTAAAAGATGTTTCTCAGAATCTAAAGCATACATGCATTTATTATGATGTTTAATGTTTTAGATAGACAGATGCAAAACGAAGGCATAATCAGTGTTTTGCTTTTCAAACTTTTTGAGCTCTATCTACACTTCGCTGTTGGTGATAACAACTTAATTTCCCATTCTATTAGCTGTAATTTCGCATTCATCCTCTTTTTTATATTCACAATATCTCAGCGATGTTCATTCTTTGAAATCAAGAAAAGCTTGATGATTCTTGAACTCACATTCATATCATTATCCAATCTAGCTAAGAGCAACAAACCGATTCAGCAAAAAAGGCGTGCCCGTGAGAGGAAGAGAGCTAAACATTGGATAGAAGATGAATTTTTGCAAGGTGGTGCAGGTGCACAAGAAGAGAAAATTGGATCGAAAGAGAAGGAGAAGGAGAAGGAAAAGAAGTGAGGGCTTATTGTCGTTGCAAACTTTCTAGCTTTCTAAATTTGACATTCATACATCATCGAAATGCATTTCTAACGTATATTATTCATAGAAAGCTTGAAGATGGAGCAATGCCTGTTATGGAAACTCAACAAACTACTGGTAGCGATAAGAAGAAGAAGAAGTAAGTTATAGGCTGCATTGGGAAAAATATATGCTTTTAACGTAATTTCTACTAGCTGGCACATCCGGCTTCGGGTTTTTTCATGTTTCTCATCTAATCTATCTCATCTAATTCTTCGTGAACTGATTTTTGTGTAGGCATGAATTAACGCATTTATCAAACAATACTTGAAAATGAGGGTATGTACTATGTGACTG